TGTGTTTTGATCAACGTGGGCTAGCACCACGCTAGCACGGCCCTGGAAAGGAACTGAACAGCTCTGAATGCAGTCCTACACAGTCCTCATAATTAAGCAAAACGGGATGGTTTGTTCGGTGATAAAGTTTCTTTATCAAATTATTGAAGGTATATAAAGCTTTTGTTTACCAAGGAGTAGTTCATTTCATACGACCACTTCTGCGGCACTTTGAGCTTCATCGTCTACCAACCAAAATAATCTCAACTCTTCCAGTCAGATATGGGAGACCCCGGAACAGAAGACTACGAGGACTTTACTACTGTTGGTGGTGGTGCTGCACCTCCTTTTCTTTTACCACCACCGCCACCACCTCCTCCGCCCCCTCCTTTCGAAGTTCCACCGCCAGCATATCGACCACCTGCACCGGAGCTACCTCCGCCACTATCGCCCTATGGTGGAAGTTTTAAAACGCCACAACAGCCTGTACGTGGCAGTCGGTAAGTGATCATGAGACCAGTGCAAAAGAACTCCTTATTTTTTAGCTCTCATCCGAAGGAGGGTTCCACCGAGACGACCAAAGGTGAGATAAAATGAGTCAAAGACAGTCGAAACAGGGTTCCATTTAAGGTAAAACCAGAACGAAGACACGTGGAGGAACTAGTACTACAAGTAAAGGTAGCCATAGGCACAGCGAAAGTAGAGTGAAGGTGAATATTTGCAGTAACAATAACGTCATCATCAGTTCCTTCAGGAAATTTGCAGGATTATCTTTTTTATTATTTTGCTGTTATGGATTGTGTGGTTGGACGTTCACGCTGCTGGGTATCTTTGCCGGATGGTCTGACATAGAGAAGACAATCAGAAGATCTCTTCATAACTTGATGCCAGCATAGTCATGACAATAACCTGTGCGTATGAACAAACAATCATAAGCTACAGCAAACAATATGCAAACAAATTAATAAAAGTTTTGCAAGGTATAAGTTGAGCACTCGTTGGAACATCAATATTGCTGATCTTGTAAAGAATTCACAAAAGACAACAGTATTTTCACAGAGCGGAAATTTCCGCCAATGTTGCTTGTGAAATGAAACTGGCAGATTATGAAAAAAGTTAACTGCCATACTGTACTTGCAGCGACCTAGTGCATAGGTTTGCAATTTTACGAAAAATGCAAAGGAAATTTTCTTATACGCTTGAAGGTGTATTCAAGTAGTAGACTCAAAAATGCTATACACACGTTTTCTAACAACAAGAAGTGTCACACCGAAAGAACTATATTACTTGCCAAAGGCAGTGGCTCGGCAAAAGTGAACGTCGAAGATTTTTGATGCGGCACATTGCATGCCGCAGATAGAAGGATTAAGTCCGAGAGCACAGTATGTTCCCCTGCCTAAGAAGCTGTTGCCAAAATCGTGCTGCCCCTATTACACGCGCTCGGACGAGCCCACAATCCTCTCCCACCGGCCGAGGCATGCTGCAGTGTTATAACAATAAGGG